TGTTGGAATTTGTCATATTAGAGAGCATATTTTGTCAAACTTCAGATTATGTGATTTACAGAAACTTCACTAGGTAAGCAGTCCTATACGTTTTGAAGATTTATTTTCTGCTTTCTCATATTGTGTTTTATAAAGACATGTATGGATATCTAATTCTTGCTCTCCGTTATTGTTGTGTCACTATTGGAGAGAACTAGTAATGACCTGTGGGGTAATAAATGGCAAAGTTATCAGCAGAGAAAACCTGTGACATGCACTTGGAGATTTAGCATACCCTCCAGGCAGGGCAGTAAAGGTCTATAGCTAGTCCTACCTGATGAAAGCAAACTACCTCCAATTTCCTCTGTTTAGTAAATTAAGAAAAGTACAGCATTGTCACATAAATACTTCCATATCAGATACTGAAGGCTATTTTGATTTTCTCCAATAGGAAGACCACATCTAGAATGGGAATCGCTACTAGTTATTACCAGAGTAAGTCTATAACATATTACTATGATTCAAGCTCTTCACTGTTTTATACTTGCTTAACTGAAAAGCTAAATGTGGATATGAAAGGAACCTTGCATCCATCTTGCATCTTTTATATGTCAAATGTTTCTGATATCTTAATATTATTTAGCGTGGGCTAAAGTTGGATCCAGGGTTGCATGAGTCTACTTAGTAAATTATTACAGCCTCAGCCAGGCATGGCGGCTCATGCCTGTAATCCCAGCCCTTTGGGAGGCCAAGGCGGACAGATGACCTGAGGTCAGGAGTTCAGGACCAGCCTGGCCAACATGGTGAAACCCCATCTCTACTAAAACTACAAAAATTAGCCGGGCGTGGTGGTGGGCATGGTGGCGGGCACCTGTAGTCCCAGCTACTTGGGAGGCTAAGGCAGGAGAATTGCTTGAACCTGGAGGTTGTAGTGAGCCAAGATCACGTCCATTGCACCCCAGGCTGGGTGACAGAGCGAGACTCCATCTCAAAAAAACAAACAAACAAACAAAAACAAAAAAACACGGACACTGATGAGGCAGGAGTTCTGAAAGACCTATATCCATTGAAGAAATTCAAATGGTGGTCAAAAATGTATACCTGAGAAAGGTAGTAGACCAAGACAATTATATGAGTAAGCTCTACAATGCTTTGAAGACCATATTATCCCAATGTTTTCTTTAAACGTGTACAAGTGTGATAATTTATTAATATTTTCTATGGAGCTAGCAAAATACTGACTCCTCTCATACTAGATAGCTATATAACTGAAAAACTATAGATAAATTTCACTTACAAATACATGCCAATGTAGACAAAAGTCTGTTGGGAGACACTCTGTGGGTCTCTTGTGTTTCTGCATGTCTTACAAATAGAGGTACTAACTACTCTTTGTTCCAGACTATATTTTCTTTTCTTTCTTTCTTTTCTTTTTTTTGAGACAAAGTCTCGCTTTTGTCCTCCATGCTGGAGTGTGATGGTGCGATCTCAGTTCACTGCAACCTCCGCCTCCTGGGTTCAAGCGATTCTCCTGCCTCAGCCTCCTGAGCAGCTGGGATTACAGGCACCCACCACCGTACCCGGCTAATTTTTGTATTTTTTTAGTAGAAATGGGGTTTCACCATGTTGGGCAGGCTGGTCTCAAACTCCTGACCTCAGGTGATCCACTCGCCTCGGCCTCCCAAAGTGCTGGGATTACAGGCGTGAGCCACCGCGCCCAGCCCCAGACTATATTTTTGAGGATGTTTGTACAATCAACAACTTCGGAAGATAGTGATAGAACCTCTATCCTGAGCAGAACACAGGTTTGCTTACTGTCTAGTGTGATACAAATAATGTTTCCCTCTAGTAGCTTTGTTAAATTCTCTTTATAAAAAATTCAGTCTCCCTAAGCTTGGAGTTGCTGAGCTGTGGCACAAGCCTGCTGTGTGTACAGCATCCATTCCAACCCCTCACTTTGTTCCTGTGGTACTTGTGGGGTAAGGGAATCCAGGGGAACATGATGTTTACACTGCTTGCTATGCTGTGAGTAATGAAGTCCTTTGCCTCTGACCCAGGAGTCTCGTATTTTGTCAATATGCATGACACTATAGCAGGCTAACTTGTTAGCATGCAAGCAGGTTAAAAAATCTCTGACCCTTCATAGTTCTCAACAGTTTTAAATTATCATCAGGTTGAATTTAGTAATGTATCAAAAGATCACATATCATGGCAAAATAGAGTTGATTGGAGTTATTAAAGGATGATTCAACATCAGAAAATCTGTTAATGTAATTGACTATATAGTAAGAGAATAAGGAAACAAAGCATAAAGCATAGGCTGAAAAACTGTGTCTGAGGCATTCTAAGAATTTTTTTCTTTCATGGGTAAGCTTTTTTTTTGTTTGCTTATTTGTTTGTTTTGAGATGGAGTTGCCCAGGCTGGAGTGCAGTGGCACAATTTTGGCTCACTGCAACCTCTTCCTCCCAGGTTTAAGCAATTCTTCTCAAGCGATTCTCCTGCTTCAGCCTCCAAAGTAGCTGAGATTACCGGTGTGCACTACTATGCCTGGCTAATTTTTGTATTTTTAATAGAGACGGGGTTTCACCATTGTGGCCAAGCTGGCCTCGAACTCCTGACCTCAAATGATCCACCCCCCACACCCTCCCAAAGTACTGGGATTACAGGCGTGAGCCACTGCACCTGGCCCACGGGTGAGCTTTTTATATCCACATTTATTGTCCCAACACATAGGTTTGATCTAACTTCTGTCAGCTTACTATTTTTCTTCTTTGCTGTTCTGCTCTGTTTCATGTTTACAGTTTACTATAGGGAGTGTATTTTCTTTTCTGTTTCTCTGCTTATTGATCCCAATGCAGCTCTGTCACTCAATGGTTGCAAATCCTTCTTGAACTCTAGGCATCATGTTCATCTTCTGAAAAATGAAAAGCATATTTATTTGCTATCTCATGGGGACGCACCTTTGCATCCTAACAACAATTTAGGAACACTTACTAGGTTAAACTATCTCTTGAATTCAATTTCTTCAGTGTTCAAGGGAGAAAGGACCCTTTTCCCTCTGGGCTTTTGCCTGTCCTCTGCTAACTGTTGATAATTGGTTCCTGTCAGAATAATGAACTCCTACCTCTGATTGCCTGCCGGGCTTTTGCAAGGAAAAAGGACTGCGAAAGAAATTCGGCTTGTTTTTGAGGCTCTAAACATTTCCTACTACTGGAACAACTAACCAACAACCAGCCAGCCAACCAAACAAACAAAATCCCCTAACTCCTGGCAAAACCTTGCAGAGAAAGGCTGGTCAGACCAGTACCAGTGCCTGCATTTAGCTGCTTATCTGTAAGGCTCATGCCTTCGGTCTACACTTCAGTTCAGTTTAATAAGAGGAGGGCCTGCCTTGACCTTCATTTCTGCCTGCCTCGACCCTCTTTTGGTATGGACCTGAGGCATAAGTACCTTCGCCTGCAAAGAGAGAGGGAGTGTAGTGTGAGCTCCACCCCATGGCACGGGAATTTGTACATATTCTGGCAGCAGCCCCCAGTAAATCTGCATCCTCCTTGGTCAAGGAAGGCCCTATTTCTAGTGCATGTTGGGCCTTGCCGTTTTGCTTGTCCCCTCTCCAGGACTGAGCTATAGGATGTCCTGGGCCCTTTTGTTTGCATCTGTACTAGAATTTTCCTCTCACTGTTGGGCTCACCCCAAGACAAGTCAAAAACAAGGCAAAACCCATCTCTTCCTTTCCTGGTATTGACTTTTTGGCTTGGGGAGGTACCTGGAAGGCCGGTGCTCACCCACACCCGGCAGGTTTGAAATTTCTGCTCTAAGGCACTGGGCACAATCCCCAGGACTCCACTGGAATTACAAAAGATTTGCAAAGCTCTCTGCAGGAAACTCCTTTTTCTGACATTCAAGGTGTGTTTTCTGGTCTTTCATTTGAGAGACTGCCAAAGCAGATAAAAATCTATTCCCAAAGTACCCTAAAGCAGTCTTTCATTCCACCCACAGGAAATCCCTGATAAAGAGGGCAGGGGGCTTTCTTTCCTCAACCTTCTTGGTCAGGAGAAAGCAACTCTCGAGGCCAGAATTAGCCTCTGCAAGCCTGTTTCTGGGCAAACATATCCGCACCCTCTGCAAAATGCACCTGGAAGTAGAGCAACTAGCGCCCTGTTGAGAGCTGGGTTTGGAAAATCATTTCAAGATCCGAATTTTAAAGCTTCTTTACTTCTCAGTGTATATTCTTTCTTCTTTTTTGTTTATTTTAAAAAAATCAGTCAGTTTTACATGCCGTAAAAATTCGACCAACTAATTTAAGTATGTATTCTGTTACCTTTTATCCATGCTTTGGAACAGGCATCGTTGAATGGAAGAGGAATCCTATTAAAACGGTTCAAGTTGTTCTGGAACAGGGTAGCTGATTGTCAGAACCTGACAGGTGACACAGAAAGAACATCTTGGCCTGGCCCAGTGGCTCACGCCTGTAATCCTAGTACTTTGGGAGGCCGAGGTGAGCAAATCACCTGAGGTCAGGAGTTCAAGACTAGCCTGGCCAGCATAGTGAAACCCTGTCTTCACTAAAAATACAAAAATTAGCCAGGCATAGTGGCGCATGCCTGTAGTCCCGCTACTTGGGAGGCTGAGACATGAGAATCGCTTGAACCTGGGAGGTGGAGGCTGCAATGAACTGAAATCACTCCACTGCACGCCAGCCTGGGCAACAGAGTGAGATTCAGTTTCAAAAAAAAAAAAAAAAACAAAAAAAGTCAAACCTTCTAGAAGACAGGATCTAGGCCCCAGCAAGTTGGAAAACAGACCGCCGCACAAACTTGGGGAAACTCCATCTTCTCCAACTTAATGGGATCCCTCCAGAAGAGATTTAGGAGTTAGTAAACCACAGCGCTTGGACCAGATCCAGGGAATCCACTGCCTATTTTTGCACAGCCTGAGTTAATGATTTTTACATTGTCAAATGGTTGGAAGAAATCAGATGAGTACTCTTTATTGACATACAAAAATTATATAAAATTTTGTACTCCCATCGGCAGCACATATACTAAAATTGGAATGAAACGGAGAAGTTTAGCACGGCCCCTGTGCAAGCATGACATACAAATTCGTGAAGCAGTCCATATTTTTTATTTTTTGAGATGGAGTCTCACTCTGTTGCCCAGGCTGGAGTGCAGTGGCATGATTTTGGCTCACTTCAACCTCTGCTTCCTGGATTCAAGTGATTCTCCTGCCTCAGCCTCCCCAGTAGCTGGGATTACAGGCGTGAGCCACCATGCCTGGATAATTTTTTCATATTTTTAGTAGAGACAGGGTTTCACCATATTGGCCAGCCTGGTTTCAAACTCCTGACCTCAAGTGATCCCTCTGTCTCGGCCTTCTAAAGTGCTATGATTACAGGTGCGAGCCACCATGCCCAGCCACATTTTTTTTTTTAATTAAAGAAAAGAAAATTATGGCCCGGTGCCTTGGCTCACGCCTGTAATCCCAGCACTTTGGGAGGCCGAGGTGCGGGGATTGGCCTGTAGTCCCTTTTGAGTAGGAAGCTGAGGCAGGAGGATCATTTGAGCCCAGGAATTTGAGGCTCAAAGAGCCATGACAGCGTGCTGCACTCCAGTCTGGCAACAGAATGAGACCTTGTCTCTAATATATATTATATTCATATATATATGTGTGTGTGTATACACATATACATATAAAATATATATTATTTATAAATAAATATATAATTATTTTATTTTATTTTAGAGAATATGTCAGTGAGATGGCTGGAGCCACCATGGTCAAGGGTTGCTTTTGCTTTTGAATTTTTTTTTTCTTTTCCCTTAGCTATTTTTTTAATTTCATGAGAATGCTCTTAATTACTTTTAAAAGGAAAACATGAAACTTTTAGAACGTTAACGCAAGGCAGCATTCAGAGACTTACTCAGTTCCCCCTTGCAGGCACCAGTGCCACCTAATTGTTTGCTCCACACAAAAGGCGGATCAGAGAAAATCGCTTCTTTATTCTTCCCTTTACATCATCTCCCCGGCACCTGGGGAGTCTGGATGCACGGAGACCGAGTACAACATGCATCTGATGATGGGTTACACCAAAGCACACCAAGACCTAAATCCTTCCCAGATTTATGAAGATTTTCTATAGCTTAACTAGATTTCTAATTGTCCTGCCACCTGTACTGAAATGTACAGTATGTGTTAATCTTGAATTCTTTTCTGTTTCCATAATCTTGGTAAAGTTTCCTGCACTCAAACAGTAAATCCAGTTTGGTCCTTGGGCTTTAAAGAGGGAGCCAAATTCACTTTTATGATTTCCAGTATGAAGGTGTCTTTGGAGGCGTTTGGGCATCTAAAACCCCAGAACAATTTTCTTCCCTGTGGTCCCTGTGCTGTGGCTTCCAGGCTGAAACCATAAGTTCACAAGAGTCTGTTGCCTCATTCGTTACATGATTTTTCTATCATTTCGGAAGAGTTTAGAAAGAAATGAGTAAGAGTTTCCACATATTCAGCACACCAGGTATTCTGTTCTCCCCACAAAATGTTCATTTATAGATGACAACTTGCTGGTTTATTTTCTGGTGGTATAGAGATTATAGGATGAAAAGGTACACTCAGTACCTGTTAATGTAACCATTTTTCTGGACATTTTTAAAGGCAGCTGTATCTGAGTCTGCCATGTGACCTTAGACTATGTCAAGTTGAAATAATAACAGTCTACCCTGCTATCTCACAGGGCTGTTTTCAGGAATTAAATGTGATAAAATATGTAACCATCTCTGAAAAGGTGAAGCACTTTGCAAGTGAGAGTACTCAGTCCTCTTCAAAAGGAGGCTTTTTGAAGGTAGTGAAAAGGAAGCTATTGATACAGGGTATGCATCTTCAGTTGTAAGAGGATTCAGTTCTGGCGATCTAGTGTATGGCATAGCAACGGTAGTTAATAATGTATTGTATCCTTTTTTTTTTTTTTTGAGACGGAGTCTCGCTCTGTCGCCCGGGCTGGGGTGCAGTGGTGCGATCTCTGCTCACTGCAAGCCCCGTCTCCTGGGTTCACGCCATTCTCCTGGCTCAGCCTCCTGAGTAGCTGGGACTACAGGCGCCCGCCCACACGCCCCGCAAATTTTTTTGTATTTTTAGTAGAGACGGGGTTTCATCGTGTTAGCCAGCGTAGTCTAGATCTTCTGACCTCATGATCCACCCGTCTCGGCCTCCCAAAGTCCTGGGATTACAGGCGTGAGCCACTGCTCCCGGCCAATAATGTATTGTATTCTGAAAATTTGCAGAGAGAGTAGGGTTCAGTGTTCTCCTCACATCAGGAAAAAAAAAAAAAAAAGGAAAAAAAAGACAATTTAACTAGGTAAAGTGATGGATATGTTAGTATGATTGTAGTGACCAGTTCACAGTGTATATATATATAAAAACACCACCTCGTGTGCCTTGGATATACAGCATTTTTATTTGTCAATCATACCTCAATAATGGGTTTGGGTTGGAAGCAGGCTTCTTTTTCTGATTGTCACTTTCCTGTCAGCTACTCCCCTACGCCAAAAAGTTAAATGCAGTTTTTCTCTTTAGTTGGAGAACTTGAGTTTGTCTGTCGTTAGGTAAGTTGCTTCACTTGTCAGTCTCAGTTTCTTCTTCTGGAAAGTTTCATCTAAAATATATATATATTATAGGCAGGCGCGGTGGCTCACACCTGTAATCCCAGCACTTTGGGAGGCCAAGGCGGGTGGATCTCCTGAAGTCAGGAGTTTGAGACCAGACTGGCCAACATGGTGAAACCCTGTCTCCACTAAAAATACAAAAATTAGCCAGGCGTGGTGGCGCGTGCCTGTAATCCCAGCTACTCAGGAGGCTAAGGCAGGAGAATTGCTTGAACCCGGGAGGCAGAGGTTGCAGTGAGTCAAGATTGCGCCATTGCACTCCAGCCTGGCAACAAGAGAGAAACTCTATCTCAAAAACAAAACAAAACAAACAATGTATGTATATATAAAAAACATATATATCAATATAAATACGTGTACGTTTGTAAGACGGTACATTGGAAGAAGCTGGGAAAATAGGACACAGGCATTTCCTCTCTGTACTATTTTGGCAACTTTTTTTGTCGTTTTATTTTGTTGTTTTGTTTCTAATGAAAATTACCATTCCATAGTTTTGCAACTTTCTATGAGTCTATAATTTAGAATAAGAAGTTTTTAAAATTATGTGTAAAGCACCTGACGCAATGCCCAGAAATATTTTGGAAGTTCAGTCTTTTGTGCTATAAGCATTATGTAGAACTGAGTTTTATTATTATTTGATATTATTATCTAACCCTATAATGACTAATAATATTTGTTGGATGCCTACTGTGTGCCAGACACAGTATTAAGTATTGTATTTTAAAATTCTAATAACATCCTTAGGTGGTAATTAACGATTATCATTTCTGTTTAATAAATGGGAAAGCCAGGGCATAGAGAAATTAGGTAATTTGCCCAAGCTCACGAAGTTTAAAAGCTGGGGGAACCAGGTACAAATTCAGATGGTCCGATTCCGCAATTCTCATTCAAAGGAAAGATCATGATTTAGTCATTTGCAGAATTTTAGGCAAGATCAAACCTCTGGGTGGGAAACCTGTACCTCTGCACTCTCATTTCCTGACTTTACTTCCACAGTGTTCCCTGCCCAGTGGCTGCCGGATTCTATTTGATGAGATTTTTGAGATTCCTAAGGACCCCCTACCGTTCTCGAATAATCTACCTCACCCAACTCTCAAGCTGGTAGAAATCCAACTGATAAGGTGCTCCTTCAACTATGACAGTGGTTCCCACATGGGGATGCAAGACTAAAGGCGCATCTTCCCTGGCCTCGAGCTGAAGACTTGAATTCAGTGGCCTGGCCTGTGCCCCTGGAGCCTGTTTTTGCGTTTTGTTTTGAGACAGAGTCTCGCTCTGTTGCCCAGGCTGGAGTGCAATGGCGTGATCTCAGCTCATTGCAACCTCTACCTCCCAGGTTCAAGCAATTCTCCTGTCTCAGCCTCCTGAGTAGCTAGGATTACAGGTGCGCGCCACCACACCCGGCTAATTTTTTATATTTTTGGTAGAGATGGGGTTTCACCGTGTTGGCCAGGCTGGTCTCAAACTCTTGACCTCAGACAATCCCCCCGTCGCGGCCTCCCAAAGTGCTGGGATTTACAGGCGTGAGACACCGCACCCAGCCTTCCCAGAGCCTGTATTTTTAATTTGGTTTACAGATATATTATTTTATTTTTTGTTTATATAAATATGGGATCTCACTATGTTGCCCAGACTGATCTCAAACTCCTAGGCTCAAGTGATCTTCCCACCTCAGGCTCCCAAAGTGCTAGGATTACAGGTGTAAGCCCCTACACACAGCCAGATAAATTCTTATCTTTAGTCAGATTTGGGAAATCATGATTTAAGATTATGATTTCCAAAGATACCTGCCACAAAGCCATTTGGGGGCATTGGTTATTACGGCAAGCTGTAAAACATCCCTGGGATTTTCAGGCAAGTATGGCTTTGGGAGCAGACATTCCTCCATTCTAACCCTCTCTTCTGTTCTCATATTTTGCAATTCCTTTAAAATGGAAACAGGCTGGGCGCGGTGGCTCACGCCTCTAATTCCAGCCCATTGGGAGGCCAAGGCGGGCAGGTCACCTGAGGTCAGGAGTTCAAGACCAGCCTGCCCAACAGAGCAAAACCCCATCTTCACTAAAATAGAAAAATTAGCCAGGTGTGGTAGCACACACCTGTAATCCCAGCTACTTGGGAGGCTGAGACAGGAGAATCACTTGAACCTGGGAGGCAGAGGCTGCAGTCAGCCGAGATTGTGTCACCACACTCCAGCCTGCATGACAGAGCAACACTGTCTCAAAACCAAAAAAATAAGTGAAATGGAAACAGTTCAACCCACCTCACAGTGCTGCTGTGAGGATTAGTGTTAATGTCATGGGAACTATTGCATTTTGTGCATTATCGTTGCTGTTAATTTACCATCTACTACCACATAAATAGAGTTGAATTATCAGCTAAACACCCAGTCACCTTGGATGGTAGAGAGCCAGGCTCTGGGGACAGGTCAATGGTCTCTGTCACCCAGGCTGGAGTGCAGTGGTGCAAAATGGC